CTGTGCATAAAGTTACAATTTTCTTGTCACACTCCTTCTCGACAAGAGCTTTAAACGCTTGAAACTTCTCAAAGGCTTGACTCTTCTCCTTGAGCAAAATTGTCCACATATATCTAGTGTAATCATCCACTATTACAAAGATATATTGGTTTCTAGCAAGTGTGGCTGGTGATATAGGTCCACAAAGATCTGCATGTAACAACTCCAATGCTCGTTTAGACCTATATTGTGTCGAATTTGGAAACACATGTCTCGTCTGCTTTCCTACCAAACATGATTCACACAACACTTTCTTACACGAGATTTTAGGCATCCCTCGTACCATATCCTGTGTCACCATTGAATTCAACGTTTTGAAACTGATATGACCGAGTCTCGCATGCCATCTCCATGGTTCTTCTTCTATTCTTGTGTGTAAACATGTTGGTTTGCCAATTTTTAGACCGATCTTGTATAGTCTATTTGGAGAGCGAGTTACTTTGACCAACAAACATCCATTGGGATCGAGCAAAGTGAGGTAATCATCCTTCATTCTCACATCACAGCCGTATTCTGTAGCTTGACCTAAGCTTAGAATATTGCTCTTCAACATTGGAATATAGTAGATATCTGTTAGTAGTCTCTGTTCTCCGTTTCTTCCTTCGAAAAGAATATATCCTTTTCCACCAATACTGACACAAGATCCGTCACCAAACTTCACCATTTCTTTGATGCTTTCGTTTAATTCAGAAAAATATCCCCTTTTTCCTGTCATATGATTGCTAGCACCATTATCCAAATACCAGATTCCATCTTCTCTTTTGTTTGACTCGTACTTCTCTGGAATCACCTTCTCCTCATTTAAGTACACGATTTCGTGCATATACAAGGCTGTATCTGCTTTTTCTGTCTTGTTTTTGTTGAGTTCTTGATCCTTTGCGATCTTCACCGGACAATCTGATGCAAAGTGACCAGGTTTTTCGCAACGGAAGCAAACAATGTGAGATCTGTCCTTTGGTTCTTTGTCTTGAGTGTTCCCTCTTCCACGTCCTCTGCCTCTGTTCCCTCTTCCACGTCCTCTGCCTCTACCACGTCCTCTTCCTTTACCATTGTCTCCTTCCGTTTTTGAGAACAGGAGGTTTTGTTGAGTTTCTTGTGCAGCAGTTTCTCCGTTTATACGAGATTCAAAAGCTTTAAATCTCCCAACAATGTCCTTGAAACTAGTTTTATTTAGGTCCAAGACTTGTTCAAGAGAAGCAATGAGATGTATAAACTTATTGGAGGGTAGACTGTTTAGAAACTTCTTCACCAATTTTGGTGCATCAAGAGTTTGACCAAGAGAGGCTGCAGTCGATGCTATCTCTGATAACTTTCCTGAGTAACTATCGATAGTGTCCGAATCTTTCATCTTCAAACGCTCAAATTCAGACATTAGGGTTTGGAGGCGAGCTTCCTTGACGCGTTCAACACCTTGATTCAGCGATTTTATTGCTTCCCAGATGTCTTTTGGTGATTCTTGTTCGCCGATTTGCAGAGTAAGGTTCTCTGGTATGGACTGGTACAGCAAAGCGGTTGCAATATCGTTCTTCTCTTCATCATCCGTTCATGGATCAATCGCAACCCAGGCTTTGTAAACTTTCAATGTCGCCTTCATCCTCAATGTCCAGACTGTGTAATTTGTTGTGTTCAACATCGGACATTGAACGGCGGATGTTGACGCCATCTTCTTGACCTCCGGTTTTGCATCTGCCATGATTCGTAAGAGTTCCTTTTCTCTTCAGGATTTGCTCTGATACCAAATAAAGAGTCAGAAGCACAAAACCAAAGTTTGAATAAAGATCATTCTTTATTAATGTTTAGAAAATCTTCTCAAAACTAAACACAAGCTTTCTCTTTGCTCTAATGATCATACATCCTTCTTATGATCTCTATTTATATAGGTATGTATTTCCTATTCTAATTTCCTTTATAGATTAGGATTACAACTTTTCCTTTTCCTTATTAGATTCCTATTTCCTTTAAGGATATCTTCTAGAATCTTCTTGAAGCTTACCCAACAGATCCATCATTGTAAGTAAGAAAGTGAATGTGGTTTATAGACTTTCTCGTTGCAGTCATCTGGTGGAAGAAAGCAGTATTCATGTCTCCCGAAGCTAACCACAAGACCCTTGATCTTTGGAAGAAGAAGCTTTCCTCTGCCTTAAGCAGGATCATCCACTTTCGATGGGCTTCAATCTCCAGCACTGCATTAGATTGAGATGGATCTGCAAACGTTTGATGCTGAAGCTGCAGCGGGAGGCAATGTGCCTCTTGGACCCTCTTCTCCAGATCAGAATAATTTTCTCTACTGAACCCTCTGATAACAACTTTCAGCATTTTGAGCTTCTTTGAGATTCTATACATGGCCGACTCCATGACATTGTAAGAGAACCAGTGCATGTAAACCAATGGTAGGAATTCAGGGTTCTGCAGAAGGAGGTTATAAAACCTGAACGACTTTCGAGACTTCTGCGAAACCACACTCAGTGACACCTCACATGATACTTGGTACGAAATATCATGCTCACCAAAATGACCAAACAAAGATGGGAAAATAGTCGATTGATCAGATTCCGATCCAGTTAATTTGCCACTGGTCTGTCCTTGCTCTTATTCGACCAAGTAGAAGTGTTTCCACGGAAGGTAAGGTATTCCAACTCTGCAAAACGGAGGCACTCACGAAAATCTCTCATGTTGAAATCCACATTCTGAGCTGTGGCCGCTGAGTGCTCCCAGGGTGCCGGATCTGATTAAAATCACCGAGAATCATCCAAGCTCTATCTCCAACCAAATTTCCATTGATAAAGCCATAATATCATCCCACAATTCCCTCTCTTCAACATCATTTGAGGCATACTCGATGGACACCACAAACCAATGCTGAACATTTGGGAGAAGAATTTCACAAGTAACCATATGCAGCGATTTCTGGATGATTACAACTCGAACACTTGGGTGCCATATAACCAAAATCGTACCCAAAACAGAGAAGTCATAGTTCTCTTCTAGAGTTTAACCTGGGAGAAGCTCATCTATAAACTGCTTGCTCTTAGGTTTCTGGACATGTGTCTCTATAATGTTGCCAAAGATGGGATTATTAATCCTACACCATTTTTTAAACCCGCCATATTGGTTGGCAATGTTAAAACCTTGGACTTTCCAACAAAAAAATTCCTTACACATAAAAATTATGCAATATTGGGAACTTTGCCCATTGAACCCTTCTTCTTCTTCTTAGAGATAACCTTTTCAAAGCTTTGTTCCTCCTGGCTTTTCAATCTGGCTCTGACAATTGCAGGACTCAATATCAGAAGAATCAGATTCCACATCGGAGATAACAATTGTCTCCGCAGCTTTACCAACAGGGTCGTAACAGAGGTCTGAGCCACTCCACTTGGTTCTCCCCTGGTTTCGATCTACAATTTCCCCAGCGAGGAATCACTGAAATTTACCACCTCTGCTGTGGATTTACCAATGCTCATCTCCTTAGAAGCCTCAGCCTCGTCTAGGATCTTTGCTCTGTTTCTCCCAGATTTCTTTGCCTTTGCTCCATTGGATACATTCTTGAAACAATTTTCTGTATCATGCGATGTCACTTTGCATTTGATACATTTCATCAGAGAAAATTTGCAATGCTTCAGGCTATGGCCAATCTCTTTGCAGTGCTGGCAGACTGGAGACATCCATGGGCTAGAGACAAGAATTCTCCTTATGTTGCTTGAGTCAAACTGGATATTAACCACTCAGGCAGAGGTTGACGCAGATCGATCATCGTAAACACTTTAGCCACCTCCAAATTTGATTTATTTGTTGTCGATGGATGAAGACATTTTGGGTGACCAAACAGACTAGCTATGCGTTCCAATCCTTCTAATATGAAAGCTTAGAAGGGAACGTATCTCAGCTCCAGCCAGATGGGAGCTTGAGTCAGTTCTGGTTTGACTAGGATAAATCCAGGTTCCTAATTAGCCACAAACATTGTCTGGCCCTCTATTTGCCACAGCTTCTGGTTGAGGACCCAGTTCCTGGTGAAAGCGTTTGGGATCCTGAACAAAAAAGCAAAACCTTCCATTTTTGAGACTGATATTTCTGTAATGCTTACTCCATATGCCGTTGACGAGTATATTTCTGAAGCTCATTTGAGCATAAACATCTATTGTGTTTAAAAAACCACTTACATACAGTATCAAAGCCAGGTTAAGATAACAAAATCGGTGATCAAGTTAACTGAAACTGAAGTTACCTCTACAAATGAAACCGAAGCTGCACATAAAATAAAAGAAAAAATACCAATATGATCAAAAATATGTATTTACAAATAACAAACCAGAGCTTGAAACAACTTTTCAATAAAGTCATTATGCTGTCCTGCATTATTGTAGAAAATTAAGGAGAAGTGACTCTTGACAAAAAAAAATGGAGAAATAAATTTCCAACTAACGAATTTTTTTGTATCAGACTCAAACTTTTCAAAGTTTATGCTTAACCACATAATCTTAACTTCAACTGTCTGATACTCCATGAATATTAGACACATGTGGAAAACTTATTTATTGCTACAAATTAAAGACTTTGTAGTCGTGATGTTTATTGTTCGGAGTACGACGTATATCTAATGACATCCACCAATATTACGAACCAAGATGACGGAGATTACGATGTGAGATCAAAATTCGATTATGGATTTACTGTAGATCTTTGTGACTATATTATTTACTATATCTTCTTATTTAGAAAAGATTCATTTTTCTTTGTGAACATATAGTTTTAGAAGTTAGGTTACTTCTCATCAATTATCTTGTAAATTTACTTTTGTGAACATAAGTGTGAGTGTTATCTTGTAAATTTACTTTTATGAGAATTTTTCTATATCAAAGGTCATGTCCATACTCTCATCAATTATTATAGTCGATTTCCCAACAGTTTTTAAGAAAGCTTAGCTATGTGATAACGATTAAAACACACTCTCAATAAACATGAACATAAACAAGATGCTTTTTTATTTTATTTTTTAGTATCCCTGAGTTAACTATTACAATAAAAACTTGATACCAAAAAACTCTTAACTCTTACATAGGCTATTGGAATAATGTAGCAATGACCCGTGATCCATCAACTTCAGACTTTTGACGATCAGGATTGAGGAAAAATTCTAATTGGGAGACCTTTTGCGGGTACTGGTAAAGGATCAAACACTATTTTAGTTTCTTTTGGGAACACTTTCTCCCACTTAAATCTCTTAACAAGATGGTGTATAAATATTAGAATCTCTAGACGAGCATACTCTTTCCCTGGACACATCTTAGGTCCTCCTCCAAATGGAACATATGTATAAGGCCTCGGACCACTTCCTTCGAATCGGTTAGGCTCAAATTTCTCTGGTTCCGGAAAGTAATCCGGATTCTTATGTGTGGCGTTGGCACTCCAATATAACTATGTTAACCATCAGGATTTAATGCATAATCATAAACATGAGCATGATATATATTTATGTGTATATATATTAAGACTTTGGGATAGCCTTACCTTCCATCCTTTCGGGATGTAAAAACCCTTAAAAGAAAAGTGATCGATGGCCTCACGGAAAGTGCCACTAATAGGAGGAACCATTCTCATCACTTCACATGCAACATTCCATGAAAATCTCATCTTCTCAATGTCCTCCCACCTTAATCCTTCTTTCTCTTGCTTTCCCTTTAGTATCTCCTTTTGTTCTGCATTTCCACAATTTATTTTCTTTAAAATGTAAAATTAAGGAATAAAATTTACCAGCGAACATAAAATTTTAAATCCCCTTTTTAGTTAATTAATAAATTTTGTATTTTATTTTATTTTTTATTATGCTAACTTTATTTTTGGAATTTTATGTTAAAATTTATGACCTCTTTATCCCATGAGTCGACCCGGAATATATGATATTATTTTTGTCAAATTTATGAGAACCATAACTATAGGTTCACTATAAGTTTTTTTTTATATTATTTCTTTTGTCAACAACATTTATTAGAGGGGTTTAAATTCGTGTAGTGATAAATCAACAGACACTTTTAATTCTTTTTGTGACATTGTGTTAGAAAAAACATTAATTTGAACAACGGATTTTAACTGTATTTACCAATGCTTCATACCTTGTAGCATTGCACCTAAACATACCTTGTAGCACATGCTCGTAGACATGAGGATATTCAGCAAGATAGTGGACAACAAAAGTACATACAATACTTGCTGTGTCGTATCCTCCGACTAATAATCCAATAATCTTATCTGCGACATCCTCGTCTTTGGTCTCTCCTATACTCATCAACAAGTGAGATAGGATGTCATGTTCCGCTGATGCTTTCCTGGCCTTCAGCTCTTCTTTCCTCATCCTCATGATCGCGATAACCTCTTTTCTGATCAACCTCGACGCCTTAATGGCTCGGCTAAACCTTGTTCCTGGTAAATCTATTGGGACTGAGAACATCCCCACAATTACCATTCTAAATGGCTCTTCTAGTTTCCTTACTCTTTCGGGGTCGTCCATGCTCAGGAGTAAACGGCATGCTATCGAAAACGTGAACCTGCTTGAGATTTCAATATTGATTATGAATTTCACGCATATGCGTAACTAATGTAAAATTGTGGTTTTGATTTGGATAATGGTTAAGATAACATTTAGACGCAAAAATAAAGACAAACAAACAACATAGGGCACAAATATGTGAAAGAACATGAGATGCACTTTACATACTTTTTGGTGAGAGGGAAGACAATAAGTTGATCTTGATTGGCCCATTCCGTCTCAAAATGTCGACTTGCAATCTCATCCATAATACCTACATACCTCCTCAAAGCCTCAGGCTTCAAGAACGGCGTAACAAGCGTCCTCAGCTTCTTGGAACCCTCATTAATGTTCATCTTCACTGTGGAAGGGAAGATCTTTTTCACGGACTCGGGCCACCACGAGACAACGAGCTTGTTCTCGTTGGTGAATAGAAATTTGTTCCCCGAGGCACCCATCACCACGGCAGTGGGAGTCCCAAAGATGTGGGTCTTAAAGATACCTACGGAGGAGGAGAAGCGGTGAACTCGGTCGGTGATGAATTTCTCCGGATGACCTTTACGGCCAGCAGAGAGGAAGGAAAAACTCTCTCCGATAAAGGGGAAGCCGGCGTTTCCCGGAGGAAGGTTAGGATAAGAGAAATGTGATAAATGTTTTCTAAGGAGGAATAGAAGAGAAAGAAGAATGGGACTGATGAACAGGAATATGATAGTCAAATACATATTTTTCTTTTTGTTGACGACTTGTTTTACTTCTGTCTTGTGCTGTTGTGACGACACAGATTTTATAGACGTACGTGAGTTTGGGTTTTGGGGTACAGTACAAAAACTGACATATATGTAAAAAAAACGGATAAAACCAACAAGCGTTGTCATAAATATTCATTAATCAAATATAAGTTGGAGTGGGTGAAATATACTAATCACTAAACGCGCTTTGAGGGATTTAATAGTGATTAAATTTTAAATAATTATATAAGAACAGATCCGGGGTCACCCCGTTTTTGGACCCGAGTTCATATGCAAAACATAATAAAAATAAATTATAATAAACTCAATACGGAAGACTCGGTTCATCCGGACGAACCCAACGATTCCGTGTCCGAGCTACGTGTCATTTTTTATTGGCGGTGAAAAAGGGGAATTAAAAAAAAAAATTAATTTTTTATTTGGGATGAGCCCCAAACCCAGATTCACTACTGGAAGCATATTACTACATGAGTTTTTCTCAAACATTAACCAAACAAAAAATTAATTTTTTATTCTAATAACTCCTATTGAGAGGGTCACCTATGGACATGCTCTAACTTGTTTGTGGGTTAAAAATTATATAATTATAGAATACGCGCGCAGAAGGTTGGTAGAATACCGCAGCTAAATGGGTAGTTGTGCATTGATTGTATGGTAAGTGCTAACTACAATGCTAACAAGTTTTTGATAGAATGGTTTACTTTCATTGATTCTATATACTTCAACTATTGCCCTAAGTATCTATTAAAACAGAAGCATGTTTTGTGTCCAAACACAATTTACTTTTTTTTTTTTTTCTACAACCCAACTATTACATCACATTTGGCCCGTTAAAGAGTTGGTCCGAAAACCGTCTTCAACTGGCTCGGTATGAATGATTTGGGAGAAAATACAGCCTCTTGCTCGAGCTCCTTTTGCAAGACTATCCGCTCGGACATTTGAACTTCTGGGGATATGGGAGAGAGTGAAGTCCAAAAAAGTTTCCCGAAGATTGCGGAAGGCTTCTAATTCTGATAAGAATTATGGCCAATCTGATGGCGATTCAGACATGCTAATCAGATCCGAACAATCGGTTTGAAAGTGTACAGATAAAATTTGTCTATCTTTCACGCAAGACATAGCCCATAATAGGCTCTCCAATTCGGCATGAAGGGCCGATAGACTTCTACGACAGCCTTGAAGGCCAAAAGTCTCGCCACCTCTTTCCTCTTTCAGACTCCATCCGAACCCACTAACCAGGCCGATGCCTATCCAGGATGCATCAACCTGACAAATTGGGAACCTCGGGGTATCGGGTAGAGGACTCAGGAGCAAAGGAGTGAGCGGAGCCTCGTCTGATCCGTCTTCTTCTTCTTCCGGTTGGTTTGCAGTCTTCCAACTTTCGGCTTCAACCTTGGCGTGGATCAAAGTATCTACCGGGGAAATTTCTTTCCCGTTGAAGATCTTGTCGTTCCTCGCTTTCCAAATATACCAAAGGATCCAAGGATAAATATCCTTTTGAGGGTCTGTCATGCCTAACGCTTTTGTTTTCCAAAAGAGAAAGCTCATATTTTGGTAAATAGAGATACTCGGGAAGACACCCGGAAGGGACGGGAAGTCCGATAACGCCCAGACTTGAAAAGCCGGGGGACATAAAAACAGAAGATGGTTAATAGATTCTTCAGGATTCCCACAGCGGGGACAACTCTTATCTGTTCCCATATGCCTGTAGGTTAGGTTTTGGCAAGTAGCAATACATCCTGATAAGGCTTGCCGCATAAAATGCCTCATTTTTCCAGGCGTCCGTACTTTCCAAACGTAGCTTTGAAGAGCTGTGATACTCGGTTCTCTCACGACATCCAAATTTTGTTCAAGGTTTGATTTTCTAATCAGGTCATATCCGGATTTAACCGTGTATATTCCTGTTTTAGTATGGTTCCACGCAAATCCATCAAGGGTACGGTCGCTACTAGGTCTCAACCCAAGGATAAGAGAGACATCCTCAGGTTGGAAAAATTATCTTAGAAGAGGCTCATCCCATTGCTTCGTATCTTGACGGATAAATGAGTAAACTAACACTCTTGGGTCCTGAAGTCCGATCTGGAGGGTTGCTCTTGGTGGACGGGCCCTGGCGTCGGGTATCCAAGGCTCACTTCACGCCCTCGTATTTAGTCCCGACCCTATTGTCTTCCTTAGTCCCATTTTAAGATACGGTTTTGCGGCCAACATACTCCTCCATCCATAGGATGGTGAGTAGACATTTCGATCCTCTAACGGGTCTGATTGTCGATAATATCTTCCTCTTAGCACCCGAGCCAGAAGAGATGAAGGGTACTGAATGAGTCTTGGATTTAGAGATCTTAATGATTTTAACCTAGCCTTGCTAGCAAAGCAACTATGGAGACTCTTATTTATACTATTTTATTTTTGGATAACTCTTATTTATATTATCAAACGATTAATATTAATAATAATATTTTTTTAATTTATATTTCAAAATAAATTCGAAAATCTAAATTTGAATTTTGATTTGTTATAAATTTCCTTAAATATAAGTTATATTTTATTATCAAAAATCAAAAAATAAGTTATTATATATTTTTAACAAAATAATAAATCATATAGTAATTTATATTTATTTTCAATATTTAAATTTAAATAATATTTTTTAGTGACAAATCAGATATACTGTTGTATATTCTTATTAAATAAAGCTAAATTTTTTAATATTCAAATTTAAAAAATATATAAAATATACAAATAATATGAATGGATAGGTATAATTATGTTTTAATAATCGCGGTTCTTTTCAGATTAATATAAATGAAAATATTATAATAACATTTTTATAATTGATGTACTTTTCAGATTAATTTGAACGGATGGGTTAGAATAATGTTTTTCTAATCACGGCCATATATATACTAAAAAAACAAATCAATAGAAATAAATTAAATATATAAACAGAAAAAATAATTTATCACTTATTAGAAAATTATATCTAAACAAAAATATAAACAAAAATTATATTACAAAATTTGATAAATTATAAATAGTTCTCGTGTGAATGCGCAAGATAGAATCTAGTTAGAAAGCTAAAAGCAATTCAAAAAGTGTGACATTTATATGTTTATATAGCTTTTTAGTTGATATAAATTATAAAATTAAATATATCTTTGAAAGACTAAAGATAGTATGGCACTGATTGAGTTTCAAAATAGATAATGTTTCAAAAAGAAAAAATTGTTTTAAAATGGATGATCTTTTCAACTTTCAATGAAAATTTACTTTGATTTTTTTTTTAATTATCTTGATTATTTATATTCTACAAATTGTTTTATTATTGGTTGAAATGTGTTTACACATATAATACATAACTAGATTCTAACCCATGCGTCTGCACGAGAATTTTTTGCTTTAAATTTTTATATAATTTGTATATATATTATTTATTTAGATATAATTTCTGTTATTTATTTATTTTTTAAATCAAGAAATTTGTTACTATGTTTTAACTTTAAATAGTATAAATTATTAGTAGAATAAGAGTATGAGTCAATTAAGAATATATTGATCTTATATTAATTATGTATTTTCTTATTATGTAAATTTAGATTTACACATAATATATATATATATATATATATAATATGTATGTATTGGTTAACACGTCTATTTAGTTGCCTAAAATCATTTTTTAATATCTTACATGTTTTTTTGTCATCTATCTTACATGTTTTGACAAACTAATATGCATAAGATTATAATTATAAATGCATAACTCTAACCTGCTCTATCATATTATTGTATAATCTAAATATTTATTAATATTAAATATTTGATATTTTAGACCGGTTGATTATGATAGAATATAATCTGATATTTATTTACCATTTGTACTATTATAAATATATATATATATATATATCAAATTGGCTAATCCGTTCGTTTAATTTCTTCAAATCATCTTAAAATCTTACATGTTTTAACAAACTAATCCGTATAAGACCTTAAGTATAAATACATAACTCTAATCAGATCCATCATATTATTGTATAATATAAATATTTATTAATCTTAATATTTGATATTTTAGACCGATTGATTATGATAAAGTAGAATAAAATATTCATTTACCATTCGCGCTATGATGAAAATATTATTTAAATTCAAAATTTTAAATTAAATCTGACATGTGTTTAAAGAATTCTAAAGTAATTAAAATTATTATCTAAATTTTCGTAACAAAATTTAATTAAAACGTTTTTTGAATTTTAAATTAAATTAAACTTCTATTTTCTTAATTAAGTTTAAATATTAAAAATTTCGATAATTTTAAAATTTTTAATGAAATATGACTTATATTCAAGAAAATCTAAAAACATCTAAATTAATATCTTAATTTGCAGAATTAATGTATATATAAAAGAAATTATATTTTTAAATAATATTGTGATAAATTTAAATAATTTAAAATTTTTTTCTAAAAATAATGTTTTTAAAAAATTTGGGAGTGTTTGAAAGCAAGCACTAAAAGTGATTCTGTTTTAAATCAAATAAACAAAAACTAAAAAAATCTAAATCTATGTGTAAAAACTTCAAACATCATCTATTTGAAATGAAGGAGTATATTAGATCATAATAAATTAGGTGAAACTTTTGTTTTGTTACTTCAAAAATAAAGAAATATGAAATTCTTATATGTGGCCCTGAAAATAAAATATTTGTACGTGGCCTGAATCTTATGTAAAATAAATTACTATGAAAACACGAAAATCTTTTGTATAATACATTACTATACGACATTTGTGCATTGTTTCACTATGTGCGTACAGCGTACATATATTTTTATGTAGCTCTGAGTCCGTGTTGAATATTTTAAAATAAAGGAAACATAATTAAAAAAATAAAAACCTCGTAAGAATACCACACATATATGATTTAAGAATAATAACTTTGACAAAAAAATAATATTGAGAAATTTTAGAAGGAAGTAAGAAATATATTTGTTTGATC